CGGGTGGACGGCTGGAACCGCCGGGGGGCGGGGCCGAGGGAGGGCGTGGTTCTTGTTAAAAGGGTGTGGACGGCTGTTGGTGGTCCCGCCCCGCGCTCGGGGACCCGCGCCCCACGTGGGCGTCCTGGCGCCCGGCTGTGCATTTCTCCGAGTGGACGCGGAGACTCAGTCCTGCCACCGTTTGCAGTAGCTTTTGTGTATTCGCTGGTTGGATTCTTACATAAGAGCTCTTTCCATAGAGTTTAGTTTTAATTTTTCAAAAAATAATAGTAATCTGTGGTTTTGTTTTTTTTTTGAGTTGGAGTCTCACTCTGTCGCCCAGACTGGAGTGCAGTGGCCGCTCCCGGCCACCGCAGCCTCGACCTGCTGGGCTCCGGCGATCCTTCCGCCTCAGCCTTCCAAGTAGCCGGAATTACAGGCATGCACTACCACGCCCGGCTGATTTTTATTTATTTACTGTAGAGATGAGGTCTTGCTGCCCAGGCGGGTTGGAACCCGCGGGCTCAGGCGATCCACTCACCTCCGCCTCCCAAAGGTGCGGGATTACAGGCTGAGCCCCGGAGCCCGGCTTTTTTTTTTTTTTTGAATTGGAGTCTCACTCTGTCGCCCAGACCGGAGTTCAGTGGCCACTCCTGGCCATCGCAGCTCGACCTGCTGGGCACCAGGTATCCTTCCGCCTCAGCCTTCCGAGTAGCCAGAATTACAGGCATGCGCTACCATGCCCGGCTGATTTTTTTTTGATTTATTGTAGAGATGAGGTCTCGCTGCCCAGGCGGGTCTCGAACCCGCGGGCTCAGGCAATCCACTCACCTCAGCCTCCCAAAGGCACGGGATTACAGGCTGAGCCACCGAGCCCAGCTCAATCTGTGGTTTTAAAAATGCGTGCAGTTCAAAGGGACTGAGGGCGAACATCTCCCTCTCACGGTCACAGCAAGAAGTCAGTAGATAAAGGCTACGTTTGATCAGTGAAGCAATGGCAGCATTGTCGGGAGGAGACATGGGGGAACCTTGGAAAAATTAAAAAGAGCCGGGTACGGTGGCTCACGTCAGTTATCGCAGCCCTTTGGGAGGCGGAGGCGAGGGGATTGCCTGAGCCCAAGGGTTCGAGACCAGTCTGGGCAACTTGTCAAGACCTCCTCTCTACAATACATAAAATTAGCCGGACGTGGTGGCGCGCACGTGTGTGTCCAACTACTTGGAAGGCTGAGGCGGAAGGATCGCCGGAGCCCAGCAGGTCGAGGCTATGGTGGCCATGAGCATGCCACTGAACTCCAGGCTGGGCATCAGAGAGTCCAACTCAAAAAAAAAAAAAAAAAATTATGACCGGACACGATGGCTCAAACCTGTCATCCCAGTACTTTGGTGGGGTGTGCCTGTAGTTCCAGCTACTTGGAAGACTGAGGTGGAAGGGAGAAAAAAATTAAAACTTAAAAATAAAACAGTAAAACAGGAACCTGTAAGATAATATACAAGAACTGGTCACAGTGACGGCCCCCAGGGAGAAAAACTAGGTCGCTGTGGACAAGGGTTGGGGGAAGCCTAATGGACATTTTTGTACTTTTAGAAATTTCTTTTCTCTCTCTTGCTTTTTTTTTTTTAATTTGGAGTCTCACTCTCACCCAGGCTGGAGGGCAGTGGCACACTCACAGCCACTGCAGCCTTGTTCTCCTGGGCTCCGGCGATCCTTCTGCCTCAGCCTTCCAAGTAGTTGGAACTACAGACGCGCGCTACCACGCCCGGCTAATTTTTTGATTGATTGTAGAGATGAGGTCTCGCCAGGTTGCCTAGACTGGTCTCGAACCTGCGGGCTCAGGCAGTCCACTCGCCTCAGCCTCCCAAAGTGCTGGGATTACAGCCCAGCCTCTTTTCTTTTTTCTTTTTCTAGAAACGAGGTCTTGCCAAGTAGCCCAGGCTGCTCTCGAACCTCTGGCCGTCCTCTCACGTCAGGCCCACCACACCCAGCCTAGAATTTTCAACTAGGCAGCTATTAAATGGGTGTACTAGTAACTGTTAAGGTGAAGCAAAAACATAAAGACACTTCCAAAGTGATCTACGCATAGAATTTTAGGTTTTTATTTTTAAAATTTATTTTTATTTTTTTAAACTTTTTAAATTTTTTATAACAGGGAGGGTCTTAAACTCCCAGGCTCAAGCGATCCTTCTGCCTCGGCCTCCCAAAGTGCTGGGATGACAGGCGTGAACCACCTTACCCAGGGTGACACTCACAACCTTAAAGCCAGCACACCTTGATGCCTGTGGCTAGTGGTCAAAGGGCACTACCCCTTTGAGGGGGACAAGGAGGTACTTGGGGCCTTACGAGGTAATGGGGTGTCAGATGTCGGTTTCTAGTCTCGACTGTTTCTTGCTCTTTCTCAGTTCATCTCAAAGAAGGACCCAGAGGATATCAAAGAGGTGAGTCTCCTGGGGCCAGAGGGACCGGTCTGCAATTCCAGATCTGGAAACGGGTCACACACCCTGGGGTCAGACTGGGCCCGGGGAGGCTGCTTCCCACCATCGCAGGTCCCAGGCAGGTCTCCTGTCCCTCGCAGGTGGTGGTCTGGAAGCGCTACAGTGACTTCCGCAAGCTGCATGGAGACCTGGCCTATACCCACCGCAACCTCTTCCGGCGCCTGGAGGAGTTCCCGGCGTTTCCCCGGGCCCAGGTGTTTGGTGAGTGTGAGATCGGGGCACCTAGGCGGAAGACGGAGGGAGACTTGGGCAGAGGAGACCCCTGCCCGTGGGGGCTGGACAGAGGGGGCCGGAAACTCCCGGTAAAGACGTGTTCGTCTTGCTGGAAGGATCCTTAGAGATGGTCTCATTTGACAGATGGGGAAAATGAGGTTCCAAGCAGCCTAGCCTTTACTGTATGTTGGGTCTTTTAGCTATTCCCAGCTAGGCCCAGCATGGTGGTTCACATCCATCATCCCAGCACTTTAGGAGGCTTGCTCGAGGCTAGGAGTTCGAGATTAGCCTGTCTAACATAGCGGGATCCCATTTCATTTTTTTTTTTTTGAAAGCAAGATTTGTTGAGAGGACAGAAAAGCTCCCACAGCAGGAGGGGACCCGAAGGGGTTGCCCTGTTTTTCCTTTTTTTTTTTTTTTTTTTT